AGATTCCAAGTGTGGGAAAGATAAGATTTGATGTGTTTTTAAGATGGAAGGGGCCACATGAAAAGGAATGCAGGTTGACTCCATGCATCACAGAGAGTAGACATCAGCTCACAGACAGTGAAGAAACAGCAATCCCAGTTCTACAGCCATGGGAAATGGATTCTGCCAATAACCTGCTTGGAAATGAATTCTTCCAGTAAGCCTCTCCATAAGCAGTGAACCCAGCAAAGCTTGTCTGAACACACGACCCCACTCACTCCCTGGAGATTATTGTGCATTTGTGTTACTTTATGCCACTAACTTTGTGATAATTTGTTAAGTAGAATAAAAATTGATATATTAGGTCACGTAAAGCTTTTTGTTTATGAGGTTGCTATGAACCTTGGACCCTGAAAAGGGTGACAGTGAGGGTGAGTCTGACGCTGTGGGAGTGTGTGTGTGTGTGTTTATTACATTAGTGACTTTTTAAAATCCCTGTTCTGCATAAGGAGCATCCTATCAGGCTGACTTGGAATAGAGAAGAAAATTAGGAAAGCCAGTAAGTGATGGATTTAACATTTTCTTTTGTACAACCTCTCCTTGTCTCCTGGGGCACCTGATTTCTAGGAGACAGCCGTTTGGAGTATATAAATAGAATCTTTCTGTTTTTTTCAAGACTGGTAAAATGTTTATCCTAGAAGAGATTTCTGTATTCCAACTTGGCTCTATCCTTCCCCAAGGCACAAACCACAACTTTGCCATTAAAAAATGTTTTTACACCATTTCTTCTTTTCACTACAGTATAAACTCACTATTTTGTGGAGTTGGGTAGATAATGAAATCATCGTAATAATATTTCATATATGTGGTTTTATGGGAAAATATGTTCTGCCTAAGCAAAATTTCTGTCCCATTTAAAAATTGTTCTCATAATTACTAGCATTTTAAAAACTTTTCAACCTTTAAACTTAAAAAAAAGAGTTTACGTAACATCCATTATTATGAAATGGGAAATATCATAGCATAGACCATTTACAATGTTTTTGATGATTCATGGTCATCATTAAAACCATCATTTATTTCACAGCCCTAATTGTGCAGTGATGCCATTGGGTACTATTGTTCATACACTAAAACATAACTACTGCATCTTGATTCTTGCTCTGCAAGTTAGATTTTTTCCTGTTATTTTTCTGCAAACAGGATATTGTAACCTATGGCTGCTCTTTACATATCTTCACCCTGCCCTCAGCTACATGTAGTTCTGATTCCAAAAC